CATATCTCATAAAATTGATATTATAACACTTTTGTCAGTTGCTTAGCTCCAAAATATATTTCAGACTCATTGTCAGTGGATCAACAGCACTTTACTTTGCTTAGCACAGTACAATTGTTTCAGAGCGCAGGGGTGAGCGTTCTGCGTCCGGTCTTATAGAGCCAAGTACCTTCCAACAGGGGTTTTAAAAAGAGGAAACATCAAAGATGAGGAAAAAGGAGGAATTTGGAATCCAAGAGATTAATACAGTATCGGTGTTCCGCGAAGAAGGAGCTAAAGTTAGCAAGTTAATAGAGGCAGGAGTAAATACTGCCAAATACTGGTGTAAAACTGTTTATGTCCGCTTTTAAGGTCAGCTCTTGGTGCATAATGGTCCTTTTTTAACGCCAATATCTGGTTTTGGGTATTTTTCAGTTTTTTAGCGGAGGAGTTTAAGTATCTTGGGGTGTTGTTCACGAATGAGGGTAAGATGGAGCGGGAGATCGATAGGCGGATTGGTGTGGCGTCTGCTCTGAAGCGTGCGCTGTACCGGTCTGTTGTGGTGAAGAGAGAACTAAGCCAAAAAACAAAGCTCTCGATTTACCGGTCGATCTACATTCCTACACTCATCTATGGTCACGAGCTTTGTGCATGACTGAAAGAACGAGATCCCGGATACAAGCGGCTGAAATGAGTTTTCTCCATAGTGTGTCTGGGCTCTCCCTTAGAGATAGGGTGAGGAGCTCTTCATCTGGGGAGGACTCAGAGTAGAGCCATCAAGAGGAGCCAGTTGAGATGGCTCAGGCATTTGGTTAGGATGCCTCCTGGATGGATGGGTATTTTTCATGCTGCCATAATTCCAGACTTAACACCTTTAAGACTTGAAAAGGTATTTCACCTTGGAGGCAATGACTAGGATCTTAAAACTCAACATGCGGAAAGAAGACTAGATCAAAATTAGCTGTTAGGAAGCTAGGTGGGTTCTATAGTTCTTAATTAAAGCCTTTATATCTAACGTGGTTTCCTGGTTTTGCCACGACTACAAATCAGTCAAATTTTAAGACGTTGTTGGAATCTGAATGGTGTGAAATACGTTGCCTGGAACACACAACCTATAAAATCTGAGCTCCACGACTTCTTTAAATGTCAGTGTGAAGGGTGCAGCGACTCGCTGCAGATTAAAACCTCATTAACTCACAGCTGATCCTCTGTACCTGTAAGAAGAAACACTCAGAGGACACAAGAGGGCTTCCTAACATGAAAGAAGAGGATTTATTGTCTCTCAGAAGCACTCTAGTGTTGTCAGTTCCTTCCTCTCTCTCTCTGTATTTTCACCCAGTCTTGTCTAAAAACTGCCTCTGAGCCCGGAGCAGGCCGTGATATTTCCCTCTGATCTTTCCCTCACACCTCGCCGAGGATTCCTCCATTCCTGCACCTTTTGTTTGGCAGCAAATAATTCCCCTTTAGAAGGTCGGGGAGCGCTCCAGGTGAAGCTTCTTCCTGTGACCTCTGACCTCTGAGATGCAAACGGTGACATTTTCCTGCATTTCAATGAACCATAAATAATTCCTCAAGCTATCTGTCTTCATTTGGTTGTGTTGCTTTGTTAGGAAAGACAAAGCTGCAGCATTTTTACTCCTAAAGGTGGAAGTATTTAATTAATTTAGCTTACAGTTGTTTTAAAAATTACCATAATCTATAATTAGACAAATTAATAATCCACTTTCTGAAGCTTTTTGGTGTTTTCCTGTCCAAACAAAATGTAGGGCAAAGAATGATGATGCAGCTTAGGCGCCCTCTGCTGGTAAAGTAGGACACCTGCAGATCACTCTAGGCGTTAGAGGCTTTTAAGTGGCTTTTTAAAGACGCATAAATGCTGTCTGTCAAGAAAAATGAAAATGTAGTCTTTTGTATTAAAATGGCTTCCCTTCATGACAATATTTGCTTCACCAAATTGTTGTATTTTTTTAATCTGCAAATCTTACCCTTTGTCTTGAATAGCTTATTATATATTTAAAGAGGACTTGGTTTATATTATGACAAATCAACATAAAAACACAATAATAAATTAAAATTAAGGTTAGAAAAGGACATAATTGTGTTTTGATGATTTAGATCAGGGGTCTTCAACATTTTCCAGGCCAAGGACCCCCGATGCTGATGGCGAGATAGAGCGGGGACTCCCTATTTATATATATTGTATGAAATTGTGTTATATCATGGAGTCATGTAACGTTAGTAATTTCTTCCTGGGATTATTAAAGTATTTCTAATTCTGATTCCTGGTTGATGGGACAGGTGTTGTGAATGAAACCGTGCCCAGATTGAAAGAGCTCCTGTGTGTCACTGAATGTGTGCATTGATGACTGAAAGACATCTTCTGCCTCCATTTATCTGTGTACCACAGTGAGTTAAATTAATGTTAATGTGGATTTAAAGACATTTCAATTAGAGGGAAAAATTACAGTGGGGAATATTAAAAAAAATGTAAAAAAGTCTAATCAACCAAAACATTTGCGACCCTCAAGCAGCACCTCCATGGACCCCCTAGGGGTCGCGGACCCCCTGTTGAAGACCTACGATTTCGATTGTTTTAGGCTCAGTTTTTATAATAATTATTATTTAATTATTAATTCTATTAGCTTTAATTATTAAATGTTATTAAAGGGACCAGATTTCAAACCTAGGACAGTTAAGTGAGTGACAGAGTCATAAAGGTACATTTTAGAAAATCTTCTCTTATCTACATAATAATATAATATAATATATAATCTTCTCCTATTTTCAAGAATATATCAAGAGTTTTAAAAAAAATATTATTGTTACATTCTACTGATAAAGCTCAAAAAACTGTAACTCTCATATTGTATAGATTCATTTTAGCCAAACTGACATATTTTAAGTGTTAACTGTTTTAATGACAGAAGCCTACAGCTGACAAAAAACTGAAATGCAATAATGGAAAGTTAGTGGAAGAAAAACAAAGTTATATAGGAAAGAAGGTTTTAGCTCATAAGCTAGTGAATACACTATTTAGTTAGCCAGAATGGAAAATGAAATGATGTGTTATGTGTTATGGATGCAGCAATCATACTGACATTACAGTTGTTCAGCAGGAAATCCATGAAACCCTTTACAAGGAGCCTTTACCACAAAGATTCAAGGCAAAATGGTGGCTGTCATAAAGTGCTGGATCCAAGCATATATTAATGTGCACAAATGTGCAAAATTGCATTTGAAATTAAAGCAACACTGTGTAACTTTAAGCCACTCAGGGGGCTAGGCGTGTTACTTCCATGTTTAGTTCCCCCTTGAAACAGTTTTGGAATCTGATAGCAGAACACGTTTAAATTCATGGCCGCATTCAGCCCTCTGGGTTAAATCCTACATCAGAGAGCCAAAAAATGAAACTCCAAACTGTTAAATGAACTTCAAATCACAACTGACAATCAAAAAAGTAGTGGTTATTTTTGTGACTTGTGTTGTTTTTCCTTCCACTCAACTTTCCATCAATAAGCCTGGTCAAAACAGCCCTTAGCCACAACTTTTGATGACTTACCCTCCTGTCTTCTGAACAGCTGTTAATTCCCCATCAAAAAGTATATAAACATGGTTAGCATCACTGTGAGCAAAGAATCGAGATTAAATATGAGTTTAAATATTCATTTATATTGCTGGAATAAAATTACCTCCTGTGATTTTCTATTTCAGAGAGCTATAGCGGACCTGCTTCAATTTTATTGTTTCAATGTCGAGAAAAAAAGAGTGTGAAGCTGCTTTCCTCTAATGTTCTGTTGTACTTTTAGGTTGAAGATTTTCTACATTTATAGAGTTCATGTAAGTTTCGATTAAAGACACAGAAACAGGAATAAAAAAAATAATGAAGAGTGAAATTTGTTCCATTATTGTTGGAGGCAAATAACACATCTGGTGAACAGAAATTTAAAGAAAAGGTAATCCAAAAATATAACTTTGAAAAACCTTTTGAGAGTATCTTTACTGTTTTTTTTTTAAATAAAAAAAAATCTTCATGTATTTTTTTATTTCTTTTTACAAGGTATTTTTTTTAGTGATTTTATATTTTCAACTGCTATTTTTTGAATTTCCTTTTTCAGATTAAGTTTTACGAATTGCATTCTTTTCTAATTGTGTTTTATATATCACATTCTCCTCACTTAAGGCGCAATACAAACACTCGCTCTTGACCAATAAAAATGTTGATCACGTCCATCCAGATCATCTTCGCTCCTTCCTCTGGACTCTATAGGAGCGGGTGGTTCTATTGGGCTTTAAGTGAGGCGAATGTAATCTATAAAACACAATTTGAAAAGAATCTAGAGTCTAGAGGAAAGCCTGCCCTCCACCAGTGAGGAGAATGTGATCTGTAAAATTCAGTTTTGAAAAAAAAAATTGAAAAATAATATAGAAAATGTTGAAAAAATTAAATAAACATTGAAAAAATAACATTGAAAAAATATATATGTATAAAAACTGAAAAATAACAAATTAAAATAGTGCAATTTGAAAGATAAAATATAATAAAATTACCAAAAATAAAATATAAAAAAATGTAAACAAAAAAAAATAAGGAAACAGCAAAGTTTCTCTCAAAACTGTTTTGTTTTTTTTTTGTTTTTTTTTATTACTTTGATATGTTTTTAAAATTTTCATTCATGGATATAGATATATTATCTTTTTTTGGAAATTTCCTTTTACAAATTCTGTTCTTTGCACCAAAGATGGAATGAAATTCACTCCATACTTTTTGTCTAGAAAACCCCTTAATTGCTCTCTTATCGGCCGTTACATAAATTCTATAAACATTGAAGCTACACAAACAGCCTGAATAAAACCTAAAGCTAAGAATACAATCGAAGACAATTCGCTTCCTATAAATATGATTTCTAAATACATCTTGTAAAATTATAACACATATTTTCTCATCTTTAGACTCCATGCAGCAAAACAAACCCTTTCAACGAGATGAATGTCAAAAAGTGAAAAAATGCAAAAATCTCAACATGATTTAATGAATCATTTACAGTGTAAATTCACCACCATCACAGCAAAATTACACTCAAAGTTCATCACTAACACTTCGGATGCATCTCCATATACAAAACATGATGAAAGCTGAACATTTAAATCACTGTTGATGAAACATGAGCTCAACTAATCATTTAAGATCGTCCATTACTACTATTTCTAACCCTGACACATCAACAGCAGCAGCAGCATTAGTCCATGAGAGCTGGAGGAGTTCTCTTCTGCCACTAGAGGGCAGCACTGAACCATTCCTTCATCTGCAGGTATTTTACATCAGTTTGGGGGCCCCAGCAGGTCTTTGTTTCCACACGGGGAGGGTTGTGTCCATCCTCCTCCTGAGAAGAAACGTCTCAGAGCATCAGACTCTGATGATGCTGATGGAAGAAGAGGCTCGATGTAGCTGAAAAACAAGATGGAGGAAGGTGAGGACTCTGACACAAAACCACAAATATGAGACTAAAAGGATAAAAAAGAAACAAACACATGATTGGGAAAAGTTCAAGAGGAATTAATATTTTTGCAGGACACTGGAGGTGATAAATTAACTTATCTCTGAACTTTCAAATTTTACATTCTCTATTCCTGTTTATCTATCAGTATTCGCAATCAAAAAATGAAAAAAATCAAGGTTGAAAAAGAATTTATTTAGAATGTATCAACCGCAGGCAGAGTTTAGATCTACAACTTTAGGGCCCAATGGGATGGAGAAATGACAAAGGAAATACGGATATATGGCTGTAAGGAGAGAAAGTAGGGGGGGGGAAATTAGAAAACATGGAAGGGAAAAAAAAGGATAGATGGAATATTATGGAAAAGGGCAAGGAAGGAAGGAAGGGATAGACAAGGAGGAATAGAAAGGATGGAGGATGCATTATAAGGAAACATACAGATTGTAGAATAAGGGATACAGTTTTTCTGGTTGCCTCTTATCACCAGAGGTCTGCTATCAATGGTATGTCCAGTAGGGGGAGCTGCAGTGACATGTGACCCTCAGGGTAACTCCGATATCTCTGCTGCAGCTACTAAAGGCTCCTCAGAGACCACCAGGAACATATCTTCAAAACAACAGAACAAGAGTGGGCTCACAGAAGGCCTCACCCTGCTGCTGCGGACGGCTCCATTGTGGTAAATGGGTGAGCTGCCCGTCGACGTGTTGTAGTAGGAGGTGCTAGCCTGGACCAGTGGCCTCTTGGCCTTCTCCTTGGTGCCGTTAGAGTCGTTGTCCTTGATGATGTCGTACTGCCGGCAGAAGAGGGCGATGACGGCTGGCAGTGAGGAGAGCAAAGATTAAAACATGCGAACGGAGGCGCTCGCCCAGACGTTTAAGACAAGAGGTGCAGACTGACCGGCCCACAGCAGCAGCACTGTGGTGATGATGAGCAGCTCTCCGGTCTGCAGGTGAGGACTCATCCCCAGACCTTCCATCGCCGGCTCGTCTGCAGACACAGGAAGTCAGGCCTTACAAAACATCGACACCGTCTCGAGACTGTCTTTCTTTTCGTTGGTACTTACGGTGATCCAGGACTCCGACTGGATAATGGTCGGTTCTCTCCAACGTCCTGAATTGGACGGGACGGCTGGGTTGGCTGTCGCCATGGAGGCCGACAGACTGCACCTACAAAGGGTTAGAGAGCGCTCAGTCATACAGAAACAAAGAGGAAGAGGAGCGAGGAGGCAATGGCGTTACGTAACGTCTGGCTCCGGCCGAGCGTTGGTTGGTTCAGTACTTATTTAAGCTGAAGACATTTCTTTGGCCGAAATACTCCACTAAGAAGAACGCAGACAAACAAAATAAAGAGATTTGGAGATAATCATATTTTCTAAAAGCTGTCTGAGGAGTTTCACACCAGAAATTATTCATTCAGACACTAAGCTTCCTCACAGAGTCCTCCTACATGCTTCCATTAGCGTATTTAAAAGAAAAGTCTTTGGATTAAACCCCAACCGTCCTGCATGGATAATAACTCCGCTGGGACTTTCACCTCTTTTTAACCCCCTAGAACCTGGCGAGACATCAAACTCTTCGCCTCCGCAGCTCATCCACCTGCTGACGTGAGCAATCAACCTGAACTGTTCTGCTGAGCCGTTATGGATCCATCCAAATCGCGGCTATAATGGAGACATGATGGAATGCTCAATTTAAACCCGCAGCAGTAAAAACTAAATGAAGAAGCGCCACAGATACACTTAATTCAACACTCCCAGTTAATTAGAGCCAGTTAGTGAGACGGAAAGCACTTTGTCAGCTAATAAAGTCCCATATTGGCCTTTTTTAAGGGATCGTTCTCCAATTAGGATGTTCTGCAGAGAAAATTCCTCTGAGATAATCATCTGATGAGGAACATTTAGATTAAAACACTGTTAAAAATCGGCTCCAAAATGCTTCTGTTTGCTCTAAAGCAAACCAAACTGACTTAAATAAAGTTCAAACTTCAATCAGGGACTAAACAGACAAGTTTATTCTGCCTTTATGACATATAACTGTTTAGTTTTTATTCAAATTCATAGTCAACATTTAAAGATTCAGGTCCCACTTTAGCAGAGGTTTAGCAAGTCTTCCAACATAAACAGATGTAATTCTTAAGTCTCTTATTTTAAATTTAGATTCTTATGTCATTTATTTAATATTTTCAAGCATTTATTTAAGCCAAAGAAGCTGGAAGAAGAAGAAGAGCTAAGGAACAGAAAAGTGACAAACCTGATTCCATGCCAAACTGAAATATCTCCATGGAAACCGGCTAAAAACCACACAAACCAGCTTTTATATAAAGCCATAAGGATAACAAAGAAAGCATTTTATGCAACTGTACAAGAAAGTACTTGGAAAGCAGGTTGATTTTAGAGGACATGATTATGGCGCTGCTCTCTGCCAGCTGGGACGGACTGACTGGGCTCGGATCACAGCATGAAGCCTAGACACCCACACATGCTAATCAGAGGACATGTTTCAGCCGGAGTACAGAAAATGCTGGTAGTCTCACCATGTTTGATGATCTTGCTGATCTCTGTGATCTAATCTGATTTAGACAAGCCTGAATCTTAGGACTAATTAATAAACTTATTAACAACCAAGATAGAAAACATGTTGTGAGAAGAACCTGCTCAACACCAAGGGAGTTCTTATCGTCGGTAGTGGAAGTAGTAAGTGTTTGTAGTGGTGTTAGTAGTATTGGTTGTTAGGTTTCTGTTATGTTTTTCTTTTGATATTCAGTTTTTGCTTTACTCTTTGTTTTATAGGTTTTTATGGTTTAATTCTTATTTTGTTCTGTTCCTTGGGGGTTTTCTTAGTTACTGTCTCAGTCTTGGTTCTGTTATATTTTCTTTTAAGTGTTCAGTTTTGCTTAACTCCTTGTTTTCTAGTGTTAGTGGTTTTATTTTTATTTTGCTGTGTTCTCTGGTTTATTCTTAGTTACTGTTTCAGTCTTAGTTCTGTTATGTTTTTTTCTTTTGAGTGTTCAGTTTTGCTTTACTCCATGTTTTTATAGTCTTAGTGGTTTAATTCTATTTTTTTCTAGTTATATTTAGTTCTCAGGTTTTTATTTGTTGCCCTCTGCTGCCCTCTTGAGTTCTCCTTTTTTCTCTTGCCCCTTTCTTGTTTCTGCTCTGCTCCCACCTGCTCCTAATCTGCCCGTTAACCCTCTCTTTGTTTCAGACTCCTACAAATACTCTCTCTGTTCTGTTCTTCTTTGCTGGGTCCTCGTCTAACTTCATCTCACATGCTCCTACTTCGTCTCTATGAGCCTTCCACTTTGACTTTTGATTCCCTGATGTCTCCATGGTTTTCTGGTTTGTTTTCTTCTTATTCTTTCATGTTTTGAATTCTTAAATTTTGGACTCCTGGTTTCTTGTTTGTTTTTCTTTTGGACTTTGTTTTCATTTTGGTTTTTGGATTCTTGGTTGACTGTTTGTTTGAACTTTGCTTTTTCAATTACCCTTCATTAAACCAACCATACATTCACCTCCTCCAGCCTGGCCTCTGCTTTTGGGTCCTTAACCCTCAAACAAATCCTGACATTTGTTATTACCAGTAGTAATGGTACAGAGAAATCTGTTTATACTGGTCATGGATATAGTAATCAACTGCTTATATAGATCAAAATGCTTGAGACAGAATCATTTCTATACAAATGCTGTTTAAATAATTTGTTTATAGTAATCAAGAAATCCACATAGTGTTAATTTTTTGACATTTTATGAATGTAAACCTGTGCAAAAATAAATAAGTAAATCGAAAGTGATGACAGCACTCAGGTGTCAGAGCCCCTGACGGATGAGGACTCTGATCCAGGGAACCATGGATAAATATGTTAGTGATTTCTTAATGTGGCGTAGCAGATCCGCAACACAGAACAGAGGTAGGCTAGCTTCAAATTTCTGTAGCCTATGCAGTTATCTTCTATCTTGTTCTATGAAACCGTTAGTTTCAAACTTTATTTTCATGTAAATGCACAGAAGAAGTTACATAGGCCTACTGTAAGCTATCAGAGTTATGTCCGCACACTGCGCAGTACTGTGCTGTGATTAAGCATTTGTTTCAAGCTTTGTTTTTCAGAAAAAAATGCACCGGCGGCACAGCAGAGCTGATAAACAGCACATATTAAGTTACATAGGCTACCACAGTTATGTCTGCGTACACGCAGTATACTGTAATTAAACTTACTTGGTACTGTAATGAAATTCAGTAAATGCGGAAGCTATCCGTTTCATTTAATTTTTCTCATTGAAAAACCACACAAATGGCATTTAGATGATAATCTGCGTAAAAAATAAGTGAAATAACGGTGTATTCGGATATAGTAATCAATCGCTTATAGTGTTCATATTGGCTCTGGACCATCGTGACCATTATAAGCGGAATAGTTTTGGTATTAGCATTATTGGTAGAGGAAGCAGTCTTAACAGTAGTGGTCGGATAAAGGCCTCATTATGCTTGACGCACGAACCTGCCGAATGGAAAAAGAGGCTCGACATAGCATCCGGCTCTGAGGACGGGCAGCACAAAGAGCAAGCTGACAACACCAAACTAATCGAGGAAGTAGAAAACACAGCTGTTTACAAATTTATCAAAGTCTCTTCATGCTGTTCTAGAGTGACAGTAATTTCTTTTTTGGAGATATTTATGACCTAAATCATGGGATGTCTCTAAATGTTTATATTTGCACACCCTCACAAGCAGGAACTGGTGCTCGCTCGCCTTGTTTTCCATGCGGATCTCTCCATGTAGTTACAAATGTTCCTTTGCGGAAATTCTGGCTACTCAGAGCAGAGGGGCATGGAAGCCAAAAATTATGTACTTTGGCTGCGGGGATTGCACGTCAGGCATCAACCAGGTTTTAGGAGTGGTAAGAGTGGTAGTACTCAGAAGTACTAGTGGTAGTAGAATCAGGGGCTGTGACAGAACTAGTAGTCAGTGTTGTGCAAGAATGCAATCAATGAAAAGCGTTCACTGATTACGTTCATATTTTTAGTGAATGGTAAACTGAACGGATCAGTTTTGAGGTAATGAGTGTGAACAAGAGCAACATTCACTCTGAGAATACTCAGCACACCTCTCGCATTCAATTGATAACAATATTAACAACCTGACAGACATGCTTGTCTACTGCTAGTACTAGTCTGCGTGATTCAGACTCATCTACTGGTATTTCTGCAGCCAGTTTAGCAGAGAACTTGATAGAGTTTTACGAACTATCAAAGGAATACTCAGATAGAAAAAAAATCTAGTTTTTTTGCAAACTGTGCCCACCGGGACAAAACAAACAACTCTATATGTCAGCCACGTCCACTTCAGATTTAAAGCTACACATCGCATTAAAGCATCCAAGCTATCTTAGGAAATATCTGCTACTGAATGAGGTGCTAATAAATCATTTTGATGAAGATCTTTTCAGCAGAACCTGAATGTACCTGTATGTTTCTGAAGCACACTGTAATTTAGCAAAATAAAAGGCTGCACATTGCTGCTCATACAGTATACCTTGATTGCATCAAATATTTTCCATTTCTTTCTATATATTATGATCACACATTTAAAGGGTGAAATATAAGGTTCTATTGTGCAGGATTGTGGTGTAATTTACCAAATGAACTTGAACCAGTTTATTTTCAGCTGTTTGAACTGAACTTGCACAACATTGGCAGTATTGGTAGTAGTAGTGCTAGTAGTAAAAGTGATATCACTACTAGTAGTAGTGGTAGTAATAGTTGTAGTATTTGTAGCATTAGTGTTGTACTGTAGTATTAGTAGAAATGGTATTAGCAGTAATAGCAGGAGTAATAGTGGTAATAAAAGTAGTTTTAGTACTTAATAGTGGTAGCAGTAGTGTTACGAGTGGTAATTGTAGCACTATCAGCTGTAGTAGTCTAGTAGTAGTAGCAGTGGTATTCATAGGGGCAGTGATGGTAGCAGAAGTTCTAGTAGTATTACTAGAAGTTGTGTTGAAGGTAACTGGCGTTAGTATTAGTGGTGCTGGTAATAAAAATAGTAATAATGATTTTACTTAGAGCAGTTTTACTAGTAGTAGTATTTCTAGTATAAGTGGTACGGGTAGTATTAGTAGACACGGTGTCTAAAAAATAAAATCTGAAAACGTAAAATCTCTTTTTGATTAAATTTTTTTAAAGGTACATTTGTAAATAGTGTTGCAACGATAACGATACCAGTATCTGGCAGGGCCCCGATACTGCACTAAAATGGTGGTATCGGTATCGGCGAGTACCGTCAAATAGGGCACCGATACCATTTTGAGGGCCAAAAGTAATAAAAAGGTCTACTGGATTCACTTTGTATTTGTCTTTTTCCTGCTTCACAAAGGTAGGCAGCAGCTTGACGAAGCCATGATGGCAATTATTTAACATCCAAGTAGTATGCAGTTCTTCATATAAACACACATCAGTTTCAAACAGATGGTATCGGTATTGTATTGGTATCGGCCAATACTGCACAGCCAGGTATCGGGTTTCGGTATCGGGACAAAAAATGGCATCGACACAAAACATATTCTTTACAAAATGATGGAAAATTCACTACATATATTTGCTCTGCTTATTTTAAAATCCTTTGATGGTATTTAGGACAAATTAGGGACTCAAAAGCTGACAATAAATCCAATTTTTAGAGAACTTCCTGCATGTTTCATCTGAAATGTGCTCCAATCTTCACCTGGACGCTGTAGTGCGTAGCCTCATCCAGATCCCACAGCAAACACCCGCGACTGGACGTGTTCACCTCCCGTATGGAGCGCTGCATCAGGCCGTCCTGCCTCTGGAGATACAAGAAAACAAATACGAAAAAATCAGCTCATCCAAATCAAGTCTAAAAGAAATTTCCACACTCCCACCGAACAGGATCATGATCTCTAATAAGGCAGGGGGAAGGGCAATTTTCAGCTCAACTAGAAAACATTAGAACGGGCTTTCAGGAATCCAATTTCCTTCCTTTTCTGGTTGATTGAACACATACCTGATGGGGAGGATTTTACTGAGTGAGGAAGACTCAGATCCAGTCATGCATAAACCCCGGTGAGGATTCCGGAGTTAAAAGATCATGGTTCTGGCATGTACTAGTTTATATTCAGCCTTCATTATCTCATGAATATGTGTAAATATGTTCTCTTGAACATATTTACAGGCTATTTGAGCCTGTTTCCTGTGCTAACATATCAAAACATGAGTAAATGTGATATTAAAGATGCTCAAGTCACCATATTTTATTGAGGTTATCAGCTGCTGGCATGAAATATGTTTAGAGGAATCAAGGTAAGGTTTAATTAAACATTAAGGTGTAGAGCGGGGGATGGGTGCATTACGAAAATATTTGAACTTGACTTGCTTAGTTGACTGATGTATTTAATTACAAATAATCCGATCCAACATTTATATCTGAAATTGGTCCAATATCTGCCTAAAAATGTAATATATTGTCCCTCCTATTATATTGGCATGTGATAAAAGCTTTGCTTTAGTTTGAAGTTTATGTAAGTCATGGGTTAATTTGAAATGGGTCTATAGTTCTCATCCCCATTTTTAGAGATTATCTGACTAATATTGTTTAATCTACCCTTCCACGCTACAGAATGATTCATGCTGATATTGTAGCGTGTCAATTTTCGGTATTGTTCATTATTCAAAGTGCAATATCGGTATTGCATCGGAACTAAGTAGTTTCACCCCTAGAATTGATGTAAACCTGTATTTGTGAGTTTGACTGCTTGAAATCGAGTGCTACAGATTCCTTAAGGCCAATGGCAGTACCGATTATTTATTACCGATCCCATATATGTGCTGCCAATTTTTAATCCTGATAGTTATTTTTTTTACTCCATTTGACAAAAAAAAAAACCAATATATGTTAACAAATCGTGACACAAGTGTCTATTCAAACAAAAAAATAAACATTTATTTACAAATCAAAGAAAACATAACTGATAAGAGATAGAGGGATAGGCAATGCTCGCGTTTCATGGGATCTCAAAGCATGGCTGCTGATTGGTTGATAAATTGAAAATGTATGCAGGTATCGGCTGATGTTAATACGAAAAAAAAAAATGCTAATATCGGCCCAGAATATTAGCTGGCCAATATATCCATCTACTTCGAATTTGGAAATTCAGAGTATCCTGTTTTATCACACAGAAATTAAAAGAAAGTCTGGCCTTATGGAAGGAAAACTTAAAAAAAAAAAAAAAAAAAAAAAAACTGTGTAACCTTTGACCTTTTGGCTTGATTGAAGTTTTATAAGTGATTTTTTTTTTCCAGGTCAATATTTAAGAGTTGGTGCATATCAATGCTCCATGTAGGATGCCCGTCTCATCACCTCACCTATGTAACAACATGTGAACCAGAGCTTACCTTAAACCCCAGACTGTCAAGGTTAGTTGTGGTTTGGTGGACCCAAATGCAGAGGCATAGGTGAATACTTGTAGTTTTAATGAAAATGGTTAACAAAGGCAGTCCAAAAATCCAACTAAAAATGTAACAGACCAGAACCATGGAGACTTCAAGGGAAAACACGTAGAAGGAGCCAGGGAGAGATGAGGGTAGACGACTACAGCGAAGACAGGACCAGCAACAACAAGGAACCAACAAAGAGTGAGAGCAGAGGGAGAGCATAAATAGCTGACAGAGACAAAGGGAGGGCTAACGAGCTGACAAGGAGCAGGTGTGAGGAGACAACGAGGGAGCCAAGGGGAAAGGAACACACACACACACGAGGGCAACAGAGGACAACAGAAAAACATGAGAACTAACATAAATCTAGAAATTACAACAAAATAGGAATTAAACCAATAAAACTAGAAAACAAGGAGCAAAGTAAAGCACAACATAAGCAAAACCATGACACAGACCTAATTAATCTTACAGTACACTCACAACACATGTCATCTCAAGGCACTTAACAGTTCAACCAAAGCATACAGTCAAATTGATTCAAAGTTTTCTATCTAAGGAAAACCAGTTGATTGCATCGACTCATTGACTCGGATGCAATTTCTCACACTAAGCATGCTTGTAGCGACAGTGAAGAGGAAAAACTCTCTTTTAACACGAAGAAACCTCCAGCAGAACCAGGCTCAGTGTGAGCGGCCATTTGCCGAGGCCGACTGGGGTTCAAGGTGACAGAAGCAGAGATACGAAAAGCAGCTGTAAATTGCGGCCCCGTCCAGGAAACAGGTTTGACACTTACCTGATCAGACATTGTATCGATTCCCTGATGTAAAGTTTAATCTAGAGGGAAATGTGTTGAATGATTCCAAAACAAGGAGGGAGAGTGGCTCATTTTGTGACAGTGCAGGCAGAATCCAAAACCGCCCCCTAAGCACTAACCCTTCACTATCGAGTGTCACTCACAATGAAATCAGACTTCAAGCTGTGTAGGGCCCTTTGATTGAAGGTGGGGGGCTATAAATGAATATAAAATATATAAAATAAAAGGGATGGCCTCTCAACAGAAAAGGAAAACAGTTGTTGCTATGACAACAGAGCCATGCCCCATGTGCCTGGCTTTAGGTCTGTGGCGCAGGAGGACATGAAATCAAACATTTGCCCCTTCCTAAAAAAAAATAAATGTATGCAGTCAAATAAAACTATTTTAAAGAGGACCATCCATTTTGGAATTAATTATGTCGTTTTTTTTTCCCAACTTGTGATTTTTCATCAATGTGACGAAGCTACTGCTATCTAGCTGAGCTGACATTCGGAGGAAAGTGTTTCCTCCACTACTAGTTGGCCGTTACACCCACTGTCAAATTCCCGCGAGGCTGCACTGATGCAGATCACAATTTAAAGGCTGAATGGTCCACTCGCCTTACCCACTGTGGGCTTTGGGACGTTCATCAATATGGCGGACCTTGTGCAAGAACACGCAAATGAAGGGTTAATGCTCAGGGTTAGCGTTTAGGGATTCAGCCGAAGTGTTGACGATGGCTTGTAGGTGGAGCTAACAGTATCAGGTCTAGCGCTCCTAGTGGCTAAAGGTTGCACAGCGTTGCTTTATTTTTAAAAGAAATGCATTTTTTTTTACATCCATCATTATATGCTTGGATCCGGCATCCCATTTTCGGTAACGGCTTCATGTGGAAGGTGTCTGGGATTTTTTGCTTTACAACTCTCAACTCGGCAAATTCCAGCTACTTTTTTCCTTCTACTGAACTTTCTATGAGTGCATTACAGTGCACTAAAAGTAAAAAGTAACACAGTGGCTAAAATTACTGCAGTGCTGCTTTAACAATACCCCAGAGTTTAGGATAAGAAACACTATTTCCAGCTTACTAAGCATTGAAGCTCACCCCAAGGTAACTTCATAAACTCCTGTCCTCTGGATTATACTGTAGGTTTCTTTATATCAGGCCAGCAGAAAGTTTGGTTCCCCATTTAATAAATGTGTCTGCAGAGAACTACAAGCTGAGGAGAAGTCAATAAATAAAAGGGCTGACAGGAAGCTTGAGGCTCTCCAGATGTCTGAATCAGACCGTTCCCTGGTCCTCTGGCAACGTTGCAGGCGACACATCAGCGAAGGAGGTTTTATTATCTCTGAGCTCAGAGACCTCACTACGTATATGAGGAGGACTTTAAAAGGTTTGTTAATCAGCGACTCTGCAACAAGGTCCCACTTCAGTGAAAGAGGGGAGCGTCATCTAGAAGTACTGTAGAAGGTCTAATCGACAAAGTGCAGAAAGTTGGAAAGATAAATAGATTGGAATACAGAGGTGCTTCAAAATAAATTATAATATAATCTAGCTCATTTAATTCAGTGCTTCGGTTTCAAAGGCAAAATTTGATTGAAATGTATCAGGAAATATTTCACAGAGGTGATAAAATCAAAGATCACCCAGAAGATCGCTGACTGAAGGCCATTAAGGAAGAAACTGGCTCAAAGTTTGGTGGAAGGAAAAACCGTATGATGAAATCAAGGTTTTGGATCGACATCTTGTCAAGCTACGTGCTTATTCTGTATACGTCTGTAGATGGATATGTTTTTTTTTAGAACACTGACATTGCTGTCCCTCATTTTTATAATTAATACATTAGCAGTGCTATTTGGTTTTCTCTATTATTACATATAAAGATGAAATGATTAATTAGACACAACAATCTTCCCCCTTCCCTCCTCCCTCCAGTTCTCCTCTTTGTGCTAAGCCTCTAGGAAGCTGCTGGGTAAAGCGAGAGAGCACTAAAACTATAATCCTAGAGAGAAGAGCCTGATGATTATATGTGATGTGTCCTTTGCACAATAAACTAATGATTTTAGGGTTGAAGATATTATTTTTAAAAAGGTTTTAAAAGGCTACACAGAGCTGCACAGACTGAGCTACATGGCCCCTTCCATGTGCAAGCTACACTGAAAAAAACATGCAGCTGTTTTTGTTATTTACTTAATCATATTTAGTTACTTTAACACAATGTTAGCAGAGTAGCACATAAAATTATTGTGTTAAAGTAATTGAATATGATTAAGTAAATGCCATTATTTATTCAGTGTATAAATAGCTAACAGTGTGAAAATATGAGCTGTGAGGTCATGTTATTGTGACCAAATTTCTGATTTGTAATCCTGGGAATCCCCTCCTTTGCTGTAAGCAATTCTATTTTCTCCTTCCACTAAACTTTCTACAGAATGTGTTTAACCCTGTAACGCCAAATGTATCATATTTGATACATACGGTTTCTGAAATGTTTTGCGTCTGACACCTTTTGCATAATTCAATGGTAAAAACTTTGCTCAAAATCCTATTGTACACAATCAGATATACCTGATAACAGCCAGTAGAAGACTACACAAAAAATAATCTTGACTTATCACATTGTAATTGATTATTAATATCAAAAATGTATTTCTGTTTTTTCTTTTAATATATTTTGTTAAAAGGCCAAATAAGGACTTCAAACAAAAAATGTAATTTTCTGTTTTGTTTTATTCTTGGATCGGGCTTTAAAGGGTTAAACACAGAACTGAGTGAAAGAAAACCCTAAAAACTTTGAGTAATGAAATAATATTAAATTAGTTTAACTTTTCAAACCCAATTTCTGAAAACATTTTCCAGTGATATTTAGATTAGAGCTGCAACTAACGATTATTTTGCAAATCGATACATTTTCGATAAATCGATTAATAATCGGATAGCAAAAGGTTCGTTAAAGAAGACTTTTTGCTAAATTAAATCAGGTGAAAATCAAAATTTTCGACTTGAGGAGATCTGGATAGAGCATATTGACAGAAGTACAATAATTTTCTTTTTAATTCTACAGGAAAAATTTTTATATTTTTTAAATAATCCTCATATAATTACTGCTCTAGGTTTGTTGCTCTCTCAGCTAAAGGCATGCTTTACAGTCTCTATACTCTGGTTAATGATTAACCAATTATTAAATTAGTTGACGATTATTTGAATAATCCATTAATCCAACTAATTGTTTCAGTCCTAATTCAAATATCTAAATATAAAGTCTGATGTTCTTATAAAAAAAGGCAGACAGGTAATAACACTTGTAACCATTAAAGCTTTGAAGAATTACTTTAACAAGAACCTGATGCTCTTTTTGAGTCTGAAGAAAACAACCTCACGCCTGCAGCTTGTAACAACGAACCTACTGAAGCCACGGTGGTAAAAATAAACCTTAAGAAGTTGTATTTATAGTTCAGATGGTTGAGAAGAGGTTGGATCTTCTCTGCAGAAACATGAACTCTCAGGTTTATTTGATGAACCTCGTCCCTCTGATGCTTCAGGATGTTAAGGATTCTCAGGAACACAGTTTGAATCTGGGTTACTTCCTGTTGGAGCGGGTTTGTGTGACTCTCAGCAGCCGGCGCTGTGGGGATTTAGAGCTACTTCAGACGACTGTTCGTCAGCGGCTCGTCCTGCTTCTCCTTCACAAATAGAGCAAAGTAATCTCATAAACCAGCCTCTGTGTGGGTTCTGATTAACAGCAAACAAACAGCACTGCCATGTCGCTTTGTTTTATAGGCTCAGTTTGTTGTTTTACAGAAGAAAAAATGTGTGGCTGATTGACGGAGCAGGGTTTTATGCAGAGTCCCCCCTCACCCCTCACTGATTTGATGACTAATAGCAGCAGAAAAGAGCAGAGAATATAAAACATGAACCATCTACCTGTTCCTATCACCCCTCCTCCATTAATATCTGACTAAAGCTTTTACATAAGGGCCTTGTGAGGTTAAGGTAGGAGATATTTTACATCCCCTTTTAGTGATGTCTTCAAAACACCACCTGGAAGCTTAAGAAAAAAAAAAAACGATGTTTGGCACAGTAGCCACTGGTCTTCCTGTAATACAAATCCAAGCCAAATTGTTCCCACTAATGGAGACGACCCAGACGCAGAAATCAGCGAATGTTTCATTCCCTCACTGCCAAAAAAACTACTGAAAACAGATGTGACAGCGAGACCATTAGCTGACCGTTAGCTCTACAATAGCTTAGCCAGCATGCACAGAGAGAGTCTGCAAAAACTCCGCTGGGGGGAAAAACAGTAGTTTATATGCAAAGAACTGCGGCCACAGGAACAATTGTTTTTGAAAAAAAAAGTTATGATTTTCTAGCATTTAGTTACTAGTACCCTGCTGTTTCACTTTTATGATGACAGTAACAACAGGTTGAACCACTGCTGAATTAACCTGAAGCCATGTCAATTGTACATTAATGCTCTATTTCATGGGCGTGGGTTTGTATAGGGACCACAGGGACATGTCCCTACCAAAATGTTGGACCGGCCTACCTGTCTCCACCGATAATTGGATGTGAATAATATCTTTATAATTTACAGCAGTAGTTGTTGCTTCTTTCCTCTCGCAGGTCCTCTGCCTGGTAGCTGCAGCTGCCTGGTCTTTCATTTTACGATTACCATGCATTTAACAGTGCTGCGCTATTTAGAAATATTTTATTTATACTCCGTTTGTGTTTCATGGGTTGTGTACTAATGAACTATTATGATGTATAATGTGTGATTCATCGCTTATTAACTCTTGCTAAAGATTGTTCCAGTTAAAGGTCATGCAACGGACGGGTTGTGAAAGAGGCTTGAGCATCCTCTATCATATGTTTCTTCTAAACATGTGTTCTTGGAAAGAATTTAATTGTAAAACAACCACATGCTTTGTTTTAACCTATGTGCTGAGGTTTAAAGTAAGGTCATTTTGTTTCCCTTTCCCTTTACAACCTTAGCCTGTGTAATTAGGGACATCCCCTAACTTTAATAAATAGCGAGGAGAAAGCTGAAGACCTGTACTGTGTGGTCCCTTTCCTACTCTCCTCGCGAGTAAAATTAAACTAATTGTCTCTTGTGCCTTTTTCTTTCCCTGCATGTATGTATGATGTTTTAGGTGCTTAGACCTGACATGCCAGAATACGGTGGCTGATTGCAGCTCTGTAAAGAAGCAGGAGAGTGTTTTGATTTGTGGAACTTGGGAAATGTAAGTGACCAACGTTAGGATTTCTTTTATAAAACTAAATATTCAGTCAGACAGGAGTTTTGAAAAGAAAAGCAAAGACTGTAAAGTTTCTGATTCCCTTTCACCAATATTTCTTTGCTTTTACTGTTTTCATTTATCAGGTATAAATAACAGCTGTTATTTCTTTTGTAGAACATAACAAGAGAAGGATGATGAAGATCTGCTATTTTTTGTTTTCTACATAAAAATAGTATTTACCTACTGTCTTAGTCGCTGGTAAGTTTAAGGTGGAATAAAAGTCCCAATTCCACATTGATCAGAGCCAGTGATGCTTTAAACATTGATAAACAGAATCTAATGTGTGTAGTGCTTGTACGATTTGTATTAATGTAGCAAGAAATGCTGCTGTTCTCTTTAAACAAAATGTGTCCTGATGCTCACATTTAGCATAAAAAAGAACATTAATATTTTTGCATAGAACCAATGACATCACACCAATGAAACTGAAGACCAATAGTGTCCCTACCACAGTTGAAATCAAACCTACGCCCTTATTCTAGTTACAATAGTTTTATGTAAATTCACTTTCAGTCAACCAGAAGAGATGTCGCAATTTGCTCTTGAAAATTGTGATATTAAAAAAAAAATCTGAAAACCGCAGGTTTTAAAATTGTTATTGCATTTATTGCCATTTAATTAAAAAAATGTTAATAATTGAAAATAGCAGCACACAGATTACCCTCCTACTGAATCAATCTGGAGTGTTAGTTGAACTTAAAATAAAATTTGAATGTATTTGCCATAGGGTTGCTCAGTGGCGCAGTGGCTAGCACTGCTGCCTTGCAGCAAGAAGGTTGCGAGTTCGCATGTTCTCCCTGAGCATGCGTGGGTTCTCTCCGGGTACTCCGGCTTCCTCCCACAGTCCAAAAACATGATTTCTCTAAATTCTCCTTAGGTGTGAGTGTGTGCATGAATGGTTGTTTGTCTCTGTGTTGCCTTGCGACTGGTGAACTGTCCAGGGTCAACCCCGCCTCTAGCCCATAGACAGCTGGAGATAGGCACCAGCACCCCTCGCGACCCCACTCGGGACAAAGCGTGTCAGAAAATGGATGGATGTATTTGCCATTATTTGTTACATGTATATTTAGGCCCTTATTTAAATTTTTACAACTTCAAAGAAACAACAAAATCTAGGAGATTTCCAGATAGTTATTTCTAAGTGCTTGCAGTTTGTTACTTTCTATTAAGAGCTGAACCAGTACAAAATCACATTATCCAACAGCTTTGTGACTCTGAACTGAAACCACTGTATTCAATTTTTTCTTTCAATCCGGTTACTTGGAAAGTTCTGCTTTCAGTTGTTCGGGTTTTAATCAAGCAATTAGTTTTTTTCACATTTTCTTCCAGTAACCAAAGCTGACTCTGAGCCAGCCCTGACTTCGACAAGCCTTTTAACAATTAAAATGTTTCAGAGCAAATCCCCCTGAGATGTTTCCAAACCTCTGAAAGTGTTTCTGAGCAGACTGCCTGGATGCCTGCAGGGCTAATAAATGACACAGCATTTTCAAAGTGGAGAATTATCTACCCCTCATGGGACGGAGACAATCACAAAGACATTTATAATTTATATTTGGAGGATCTGCTTTAGTCCCTGGCATGGCAGCGCTCCAAGTTTTCCTTCAGAGTCACATTTTGGACCCCTGTAAAACTAATTGACCTAAGAGGAGACGGGTGGGCAGGGAGGCACTGTACCTGCTGAGAGATGGCGTAACCAATGACCGTGTCGCCCTGAGGGACGTTCCAAGTCACCATGGCTGAGTCCGCCCTCAGCTGGGTCACAGAGACGTTCACCGGCGCTGCTGGCACAGCTGCGGACAAAAAAAAAAACAAGAACGTACACCGTCACTGTCAGGACAGTCCGACACAGGGACAGAGCTGAGGCTTCTTTCATTGATGGACCTCTAAGCAGGGATTTATTAGGAGAGATAGAAGAACACTCATGGTAAAAGGTCCCAAAGATGATGGATGGGACAAAAAATGTCTGCTGAAGCAAGCAGAATAAAGAAAGACGCCCTAAAAAAGGATAAAAACAGAAAAGTTACAGTAAATAGTAATTTCTGCGTAGCAAAGTAAATCTGCATATGATTAACTGATATAACACAGTCACAGTTATATTGTTCCAGCAGGTATGAGGGTCTTCAGACGAGAACAAAACTGAAGTCAAAACTTAATTTAATTTTATCTACTTATATGACAGGGACAATGCGTGCAAACATAGTAACAAAGTTTACTAATGATGAGATGCAGTTTATAGAGTTTATATCTAATGGTAATATTACACTCCTGGTTCTGCCTTTCTACACATTATTATAAAAATATATAGATCTAAGTTTCTCACATGCAAACACACAGGACAATATTTCTCCAAACAAATTATCAGGGAAAAACTAATATCCTACGGGATGTCAGCTGAAGACTGATGCAAAAGGTTTTGGAAAAATCTTCTTTCTGGAGAAGGAATGCTAAAGGCTACAAATCTATCACATTTAGAGCATCTTCTAAAATTCATTTCAGCCCCAATCCTTATTGGCCTGATTCCATTTTTCATGGCCAATTCCATGAAAATGTTGTAAAAAACGAAAACAAAGAAGTTTCTGCAATATTTGTATTTGTATATTTTCTAAATAACAAACGCTAAATATCAGCGTTACATATGGATATGGCTTAAGGCTTAGAGCTACTTCATGGGGTCCTGAAGCAGAGATACCAAGACCGAACTAAGTGAGTTTTTATCTAAATTTAATGCATAATAAACATAATTTTATTCATTCTTTTCATTTCTTTTTTTTTTTTTTTTTTTTTTTTGGATATTGTCATTTTGGAATCTCTATAAATGCAAGTGTAAATAAAAAAAAAAAGATCTAATAAAATTTCTAACTTAGCCCTCTGGTGAATTATGCTATTTTAGAAAGATGCTGAGGGGGCCCTCCATATGGTCCTGGAAGGCCCCCTGGTGCCCTCCACCACGCTGGTGATCCCTGGGTCAGACTGGCCTTAAAAACCTCTGTAATCAGTTGATCTCTATTATACAGTACTTTTACTCTTACTCTTCACCATGACCGGTTTCGATCGTGGGTCTCCAATGCATTGCGCCATTCTTTCTTATTCTCGGCCGTCGCCAGGTTCCTCTTCACGTCCTTCTCCCCTGTGATCACTACTATCTCATCTATCCACGTTGTGCATCATTGGCCTTGTCCCTGTTTGGCATGTGTTTAAAGGAATAGTACACCCAAAACATGATTAGCCTTCATTTTCTACTCACCCCCATGCTGAACAAAACTCTGGAGTACTTTTTTGATATCTCAAATGCATCTGGAGATCTGGGAGGCTTCTTGCTGTCTGCTGACATTCAAATAATGGAGGTCTATGGCGCCCGAGACAGAAAGGTCCATAAAAGTCCATAAAAACGTGTCAATATTCCTCCATACTGCTCGTCCAATGTAATCCAAGTGTCCTGAGTGGGTAGCGTCCATAATTTACTCGAAACGAAGTCATTTAGAACGTTTTAGAGCCTAAACAGTAGTGTATAGGATTTCCTAATAGCGCCCCCATGCGCGCTCACGATTCTACGAAAGCCGGCAGACCAAACCAGCGCATTCAGCTCGGCAAATAACTCATGCTCTTCCTCAACACTGAAGTCCTCAGACATTTTTCTTTCGTTGTTTCTTTCTTTGCACAGGTAAACAGCACATTTCTTCTTCTACGCTTGCATTATCGGCAGAGCAGACGCTGAATGCGCACTTTCTTCCGGTTTGGTCTGCCGGCTTCCGTAGAATCGTGAGCACGCATGGGGGCGCTATTAGGAAATCCTATACACTACTGTTTAGGCTCTAAAACGTTCTAAATGACTTCGTTTCGAGTAAATTCTGGATGCTACCCACTCAGGACACTTGGAATACATTGGACGAGCAGTATGGAGGAATATTGACACGTTTTTGTGGACTTTTGTGGACCTTTCTGTCTCGGGCGCCATAGACCTCCATTATTTGAATGTCAGCAGACAGCAAGAAGCCTCCCAGATCTCCAGATGCATTTGAGATATCAAAAAAGTACTCCAGAGTTTTGTTCAGCATGGGGGTGAGTAGAAAATGAAGGCTAATCATGTTTTGGGTGTACTATTCCTTTAAGCCACAATCATTTTCAAGTCCAGACCAAATGAGGCCATGGCTGACATAGCAAAGTACAAGAACTTTCTTTTGATGATCTTGTCTAGCAGAGTTGGTCTTTCCGTTCCCATTCTTTGTAGCACCTCTTCGTTGTGTAACATCCCTGTCCAATTGATTTTGAGCATGTGCCGATAGCACCAAAACTCATAGGACGTGATCTTCTTCTTGGTCTGCTTCGTCAGGGCAAAACAGTCGGAGCCGTAGCGGACTAGTGAGAACACTAGGCATTCAAGCATTTTCTTGTATACAGTATCGAGATGGAAAAAAGATGGCTGCTCTAAAAGCTATGAGAAAAGAATCGTCTGATACCAGAAAACTCCAACAAATCCTTGCATCACTAAAGTATGACTTTATTAAAGATTTAATTGGCATTGATGCAAAGAAAATTAAACTTCAATTAAACTTCTGTCTTATCCATAGCAAGGCTGCGTTCAATGACCCCAGTTAGAATATTTCAGAGCATCTGAAGTAAAACATCTAACACCAGATCTATGGCAGCATCGCTAAGGAAAACAGGAATAAAAGCAAAAAAATGTCTGATGTTAGAACAGAAAGGGTTGGGCCTCCTTCAGTGACCTTCCTCCTGCTGCTATAACAACTCACCCCAACATCAATCACTTGGTTTTTACTGCAGGTCAATATGTATTGATTGGTCCAGTTCATCCACTTCAGCTACTTTTTGAGACGGGGACGGGAATAGAAATGCATATTTCTCCTCAGCTCTTCTGGCAGCAGAAGGCAATTAGTATCTGCCTGCTGGAAGTGTGTGTTCCTGTATGTTTGTGGGTAGAGAAGTGTGTGCAGTGCAGACAATTAGGGCATCAACACCTTAAAACCCCTTTAGAGTCATGACATTTGCATTGAGATCAATGAATGGAGTTTTTTGATCATAAGCTCCCATACGTCCTTGCCTGCATCCATTTTCCTCTTCATCCATCTATCCATCCTTCCTACGCCTGGCCTGACCTCTCACAAACTCAAAATGAGACTCAAAGTCAACAGTGTGGTTTATGCCCTCTGCGGCAGGGGTGTCAATCTAACTTTTTATACTAGACCACTTAAACATCGCTAGGTCTTTAAAAGGGCCGTCTGCAGCTGTACTAATGAAATTTTATTAAAGCATTTCATTTTTTTACTCCCTTTTTTTTTGCTGGTTTAACTACTTTGTGTATCGTTAAAGAACACATGCCTCGTTTTTTTTGATACCATATGCCTTTGTTTGGCTCTTGTGTGCAGGATAATCTGCAGTGACAGGCTGGATTTGGACAGCAGAACTTAAAGGGTAAATTGCAGGTAACATTTTTTTAAAAATTGCAAACTTAAAGGCTGGTTATTCTCCCAACAGCAGTGTGTCGCAGTGAGCCTGACTCAGACTTTTTTGATTTATGCTCAATTTTGAATCGTGGTCTGCGCTATGTTATTCCACGACACAACGCAAGAGGGACAATCACGAACTAGCTGTCGGTCTAGATACGGCTGAGGCGGTGAGGAAGTGGGGGCGAGTTTGTCCGACAACGGAGGGACATGAGGGACGAAAAAGAGCAGGGATCCCTTCTCGTGCACCTCGCTCTTCTAGCTGGTCCATCTTTACGAGTTGTTTTTCGCAATTGCAGTCATACAAACAAAACAAACCAGCAAGTGGATATAGATTCGACCAATGAGAGACCAATGTCTGTGGCACGGTCTGCGGTCACCTTCAATTAGGGAGAGGTGCAACAGAGTGTCTGCGCAGGGGGTGGGGAAGTCTTTGCATTCACTGTGACACCTACGTAGACAACCTAGTTTCGAAGAATAAATTATTCTTCTGTGTTTTCTAAAGAATCATATTTGATAAGTTGCTGCCATGATGAAGTTAGTTTACCAATAAAAGTTACATGTCGAAGCAGCGGCTCTAAAAAATGTATTTTTTTCTATAAGTCACATCATTTGACGTCCCATGGGTGAGTCAAATAGTCGCGCTGCTTCACCTCTGTGTCGAGAGTAGCTAGTTATCGGGTAGAGCGTACATATACTTGAGTTTGGTTTAAGGTGGAGATTGGGTTTAATGATCATTAGTAAGGTCGATTATTCCATATGCGGGGTTGTACAAACTCCAGCCAGTGGAGTCCGCACTTTTCCAAACCGGAAAGTCCCAGTTCTGGAGCAAATCTTATGAGAGGAGTAGACAGTAGATCCCACACACATTGGCTAGAGGATGGCTGATTGGGAACTTTTATTTGGATCAATATGATAGTGGAGAAACTTTAAACAAAGGAATAAGCAGCAGACATTACCTCATTGGCAGCTACTCTTTGTCTTGCTGCTTAACCCCAAAATTTTGAGCTTTGAACTGTTTTCAAGTTTTATTAACAGATTATGCAGCAAAATCTCTCAGGATGACTTCTGTGGTCCAGAAAAATAGCAGGACTCTGCTGTGGGCCAAACTATTGCGGTTAAAATGTCTCTAAGGACATGCTGTGACACTACTATGACTGATACTACTTTTACAATGCAGCAATGAATTCATTCTCCCCCTGGTCTCTGTCTGCTCTCTCGGGGAACAGGCTCATAATTATGGGGTTGTGATCCATCATAGGTGTAGTTGTACACATTTAAATTCTCCGAATTGTCTAAATTATCATTGGTATCTATTGGTTACTGCT